CAAAAAACTTCAGTGTTGAAAATTTTACCTGAAATATTTCATTGATTATGAATAAATTTAACATTTCTTTCATAAAGTTTTTAATTTTTATTTCAAATATTGAATTTCATCAAATTTTAACGACACTAATAAGTTGTGTCAGTAAATGATCAAATAATTTTACTACAATTAATTATCTGATATAAAATTATATGAGTAATTATTTGGATAAATAATATTTATGCAGGGAAATTGAGTATGTTAAGAGAGCATGATGATATGAAACGGAAAGATCGGCATATATCAAGTTTTATGCAAAATAAAAAAGTAATATTTTGAAATTTAAAAAAAAAATTGAAAATTCGTTTCATTTTCCTTTATTATACATTTATTTTTTTCGTTAATTTTCAAATTTTTATCGTTTATATATTGATTAATTATTAAAATATTAATTGAAAATTATATTTAAACTTTCATTTTTTTTTTTGCAAGAAAATATAAACAAGTTGGACAACTTTTAAGATTGCCTTTTTTCTTGCCTATCAATATGCTATGTTAATAAATTATTATTTGAAAAAGTAGCAAAAATATATTTTCGACCAAAACTCGAAATTTTTCATTTCTTTTAATTATTCATTTATTATTCAGTAATTTGATATTTTATTAAAAAAAATGATGCGTTAGAAAAATTTTTCGGAAGTTACAACGATATTTATGATAATAAAAGTTAATTTCTTTTAAATCAATCGCAATTAATTAATCTATAGTTTAATTTAATTAGAATTTTAATAATTAATGAAATATAATTGCAGAAAAATCGTTACCAACATGTTGTACTTTACAATGAAGGGGCGGTAATTGTTAAGGCGGTAAAAAAAGATGAGACTGATGATGATTATATTCATGCAACCAAAATTAAAGGAGATTTTGGAAATTATATATTAGCTCAAGTATTGTAAATTTAATCGTTTTCCTTTTTTTTGTTTTATTTAAATAGAATTAATAAATTTCTAAAAAATTTTATTTTAAATTAATTAATTAAACTGGCTTTTGTAAAGAGATTTCATTTTATTCTGAAAATATATTAATAATTTTGCAAAGGTTTCATTTTTATTCGAATAATTTATAATTTAATCATATTGCAAATCGAACATAAATATGTTGAAATGTGAAAAAATTGAAGCTTTAAAAAAGAATTAATTTTAATTGCATGAAGTGAAATTAAGTAAATTTATTGCAAATTAAAAATTTGAAGTTGAAAAATTTAGTTTTGATCAGATTCAGTTTTAAATTGTTTAATTTATATAGCGAAAAAAAAAGACTGAAATTAGGAAAAATAAGTTTTGAATTGGCGAATTAAATATTTGTTTAAAAAAATTTTTTGACAGCATATTTCGATGCACTCATTGCAGAATTACACCTTTGTAGTAATAAAAATAAAAATAAAACTAAATTAATTAAGAAATTTTAAGTAATCTTGAAATATATGCAATTTATGATTTATGAATGACTAATAATCACATTGTCAATTATCACTCTATTACCAATTTATCGATTACTGATTATAATTATGTTATGATCGACAGATTAATTAAAGCAATTACAAATTGCTTTTGCAAAATTGAGTCAAAAAATTGTCTGATAATTTTGATAATTTTAAATATTAACGGCTAATTTTTTTTTTTTTTCTAACATAAATAAGAAATTAAAATATTTGATAGAGTCCGAAGCGTACAACGATCAATTCATGGTTACGTATGATTTGGCAATTCAATGTCACCATTATTGTATGCTTAATTCCGCTTATTTCTGAAGATAAATGCGCCAAATATTTTGAAAAAAAAGAAGGCCAAAAGTTGAAAGTATGCTTTTTCGTCTTTCTTTTAATTAATACTTTTAAATAATTGACTGGCAGTTAGTTACAATAATTTATAATTTTAATTAATATTTGGTTGATGTGATGTGTTGGGGTAAGATTGAAAAGAAATGAATAATATTGTTATTTACGATAAATCCTTCTTCTTTAATTAATTCAAAATTCATAAAATTAATTAGCGACTTGTCATTAGTACTACTGTTATTATTGTTTTTGTGATTATTACTATCACTATTGCTATTACTATTAATATTAATATTATTATTATTATTATTATTATTATTATTATTATTATTATTATTATTATTAATATATTATTATTATTATTATTATTATTATTATTATTATTATTATTATTATTATTATTATTATTATTATTATTATTATTATTATTATTATTATTATTATTATTATTATTATTATTATTATTATTATTATTATTATTATTATTA